TCTGATCATAAAACCATTACCAAACTTCTAAAGACCCAAAACCCTTCTAATATTAAACACTGAAATAAATGTAAGCTACACATACATTTAAGAAAGATTAATATAAACAAGAGGCCAAGCTTGGTGCTCAGCCTACAATCCCAGCACTTTGGGAGCCTGAGGTGATTGGATTACCTGAGCCCATGGGTTCGAGACCAGCCCACAACCTCATCTCTACAATAACTAAATAAATAAATTAGCTGGGCGTGGTAGTGCTCGCCTTAGTTACAGCTACTTGGAAGTCTGAGGTGGAAGGATCACCGGAACCTAGCAGATTGACGCTGGGGTGCCACTGCATTCCAGCCTAGGCAACTGAGTGAGACACCAACTCAAATGAATGAATGAATGAACAAATAAATAAATAAATAAAAACAAGATAATTATTCACCCTATTTTTCCAGTTCAGGGTCTCAGGTGGCTGGAGCCCATCCTGGCAGCTCAGGGAACCAACCCCGGACAGAATGCCATTCCATCACAGAGCGTATTCACACACACATGCTCACTCACACTGGGGCAATGTAGACATGCCAGTTCACCTAACCCCTATATCTTTGCAATGTGGGAGAAAACTGGAATACCCAGAGGAAACCATGGTAGACATGGGGGAGAAAATGCAAACTCTACTCAGACAGCGGCCCCAATCAGGAATCAATTTTTTTCTCAGCAACATTACAACCAAAGGATGTTGAACAAAACATCATTCGAGAACCTGCTGTAAATGACCAGGGATATGGTTATACAGGCACAAAAAACAACTGAGAGGACTCACATCAACTGCTTAACAATACCCACCTCTGGGAGTGGGTTAGTTCATTAATTTTTATTTCTCTTCTACAAAATGTTTACAGAGGCAACCTCTTTCAGGTCTCCTCCCACTGAGGGAGTTTTTCTGTCTTCTTAATAAATCCTGCTTTAAAAACAAAAACAAAACAAAATGTTTACAATTTTCATTTACTTCTTCTGTTTCAATGTAAAAAGAAAGAGTTGGGCGCAGTGGCTCATGCCTGTAATCCCAGCACTTTGGGAGGCAGAGGCGAGAAGACTGCCTGAGCCCAGGGATTCAAGACCAGCTTGGGCAACTTGTGAGATCTCATCTCTACAATAAATCAAAAAAATTAGCTGGACGCAGTGTGTGCACCTGTAATTCCAGCTGCTTGGAAAGATCGCCTGAGCCCAGCAGGTCGAGATGCAGTACCTGTGAGTGTGCCACACAGTGAGACTACAACTCAAAAAAGAAAAAGAAAATTTCTTTTGTTTATCAAACTGATTATATACACACTAATAATTTTTAGAAATTATCATTAACCAATACCAACAGCTTTGCCTGCACTACCTACATAACAGCAGACCCAACTGAAGCCCACAACACTCAGAATGGAGAGTCATGTCGGACATCACCAGCTTGAAATCCCAATATTTTGACTGTTTTTCATTCATAGAGGGGAGGTAAGAATAAATTTGAAAAAAATATCCGTTTTGAACTTTGTAGCCTCCAAGCTTCAACCAATCTATTTTTTCAAGCTTCATTTCTCTTTAAAAAAAAATGTACTAATCTGCCCAGACATCCCATCAGTTCATTCAGATCATCAGATGAAACAAAAAGCTCTTTTGCCAACCGCTGTGATTGCAGTGTCCCTGCTATGTCAGGTGGTTTTTCTGTCCTCACTTTAAGATCTCAAAATAAATATTCCTAGAAGTCCTCAAACTATGCCACGTGTGTGTTATTTTAAAATCTTGCCTTTTAAAAAAGATTAGCATTCAAGAGATACTTATGTTCTCTTTTAGCTTTCTCCTAGAATTTCTAAAATGCTTACCAAATACAGAATATAAAATTTAAAACTCCAATGACTAATTAGAAGGGAGGGGAAAATACTACACATGGACTGATAGTCACTAAGCCACTGATTTCCTAGACATCTCTATACAGAAGGCTTCAAGCCAAGAGACCTCATCATCTCATTTTCACTATCTTCCCTCTTTACTTGCCCTATGGATTTTCCTCTTGAGTTCCTCATACAAGAAAAAGAAAACAAGAAAGCCAGCAGAGAATTCCCCAGAGTTCCATACATAACAACTGTAGAATGACAATGTAAAGAGGGGGGTGATCCCCAAACTGAGGCTTAGAGCTCATAATATGACCTATGCTAGCCTAGGAGAAGCCTCTAAATTATATGACAAACTATATCAGAGTTTCAAGAAAACTAGCTTTTATCTGGAGGAAAAACTTTCAAGCTCAATCTGTTAATCTTTCCTTACTCACTTCCATCATCAGACCTTAATGATCTGCATATTGCCTTCAACCATATTCCAGTCAGTACTCGAGGGAGTTCTAAGTTCTCATCAGACCCTAAATTTGTCCCAATTCCTTTCCCATTTAGTGTACAGTAATGTCTCTCCAAGGTCAACAATGGGCAGTAAAGTTCACATCACAAAGCATTTGTGCTATAAGAGAACTCAGAAGTCAGCTAGTTCATCCTCTTCATTTGGGGTTGAAAAGTAAATGAGGAAAGTGAGGCCCAAGAGAAGAAATGATTGACCCAAGGTATCCATGCTAGTAAGGGGCAGTGCCTGAGTTCCTTCCCAAGGCTAAGAGACAGAGCCTCGGTTCTCTCCTTCTCTGCCCAGTTTCCAAGAAGCAAAGGCCTGCTTCTTTCTTTTTCTCCACGGTATGCTGTCTCCCTGCTGGTTGGTAATTTGATGTTGCACTTAAAATAAGGTGGTGGTTTTCTTCACTGTTTCCACAAAACATGCTCACTATTAAAAGTGTGGAAAATACAGCTTTTTTTCTTTCTTTCTTTTTTTTTTGCTTATATAGCTTACAGTGCTCATTTGTAGAGAACTTGAAAAGTACAAAACAGTATAAAGAACCAGAAAAAAAAAAAAACCTCATAATTCTACACCCTGGGGATCACCATTAACATTTTGGGATATTTGCTTCCACTCCTTTTTTCTAAACATTTCATGTAATTATATTATGTTGTATGTATAATTTTATATTCTGCTTTTTCCACTTAGACATGTTCCCATTGGACTCAGACAACTCTGCATGTGTGTATTATCTTTCTCTTTTTTCAGCAGGAACTCATTTCTCTGTCAAAAGGGTAATTGGACACTGAAAATCGTGGTCACACTCTGAGGTTTTAGGCTCTTTTTGGTCTATTTTACGGAGGTTGTTTTGAAATTATTTTGTTGCCAAAAAGTTGAATGTACTTTCTTCTGTTTTTTTACTTAAATCCAGAAAAACCTCCCACTAAAATGATATCTGGCCATATTCTGCCCAACACAAGCCAACATCAATACGTGGCGTTATTTGTCTTTGAAATAAGATACATGCTGAAAGTGCTCATTTTAAAACGTAAAATTTCACTGAAGCAAAAATAAAATTCATTATATTAAAAAGGTCATAAGCGAATAGTCATGGAGATTCAACCTTCTATCCCTAGAGTATGAATAAATGAAAGTTAAAACCCTCCTCCCTACTCCCTATTTTCAGAGGCTAGGTCTAGGCAATTTCAATCTCAGAAATAATTTCTCCACAATTCTTACTCAGCTCTGGCTGAACAACATTGAACAAAGTTCACTCCCTCTTCTCTAATACCAAGCAAAGATTCACTTGTGCTTAGACAGAAACACTGAACAGGCTCAGCATCAACTCCCAAATGCTTACACCACTGCGCAAGTGTCACGTGGGCCACTGCATGGGGAAGCAGGAGTTAAGGAGAAAATCCACTGCTGGAAATTGCACATCGGTGTCATATCTACAGTGTCATCACAGGCCCAGCTCTTGTCTGAATGCAAAGAATATGCTATAAAGATCCATAAATAAAACCAATTAAACTCATCAATAAGGAGAATTCTATCTCTGCCAATATTCTATCTGAAGATTTAAATCGGTCATACTGAAATTAAAATAGACCAGGCAATATGTGTCAAATGCATGACAAACAGACAATTACAAAAAGTCTGCGGGTATGCGGGCCAATTCCCTCAAAAGGAAAATAAGGCATTCATGCTTTCAGCAGTGTTATAAATAATGTTAAAGTCTGGGCTACACAAATGCTTGTTTTCTAAAGTCTGACAAACAAAATATGGCCTTCTGAAAAAAAAACCCATCATGTCCCCTCCTGGCTCACATTACTATTGACCTTTGTGGACAAGATCAGAGGTCACACAGAATAAGTGATGATGGCTAGCTCACCAAGGAAGGGAGTAGTCCTTTACCTCCTGGCTGAGCTGGTCATCAGTCAAGCAGTCTGTCTCAGGTTAAAGGGTTTTATGCTGCCAATCAAATGCAAGGTCTGACATGAGCCCAGTGATCTTCAGTAATCCATGGCTCCCAAAGACCAGCCTGTCAGGTGAAGGCATGGCTGGCTTGCCAGTACTTCCTATTGTGCCAAAGCCTTCCTGCACCCTTCAACCAGTACCAAGACTGGCAGTGTCCAGACAACGGTTTTACAGCTCATCCTTCTTTCCATTATGGTCATCACGTTGGGAACATTTAAATCAAAGGAATTTTTGAAAGACTTATTTAGGAGGAAAAAAGCTGGAAAAAGTTGAGTCTCCATGGTTACTGTTGCATGTTTATCTGCAATGCTGACTACGTAGTGTAGTTTGGTGGAGAGAGTGAGGGAGTCCCAGCATTATCTAAGTGAACAACTCTAGCAATCCACTTAATCATTCCTATCTGTGAATAAGAGATAATATATCAGTATCCTATGATTGTGGTAAAAATATAATGTAACACAAAGGTATTCAATTGTATGGTGACTACTTATTAATTATAAATTACATGTTTATTCTCAAAAGTTTGTTTTTAGAGCCATATATCATCTGTTTAAAGTATGAATTTATTTTCTGTCATGAAAATTACTAATTTCTTATTGCTGAAAATGCCATTTCCAACCAGTTTCTTAGACATGGCAAGCAATCAATGTGTGCCATTGGAGTTTTAAAACATTTACCTGCAAGCTATTATTCAGCAAATCAAAGTCACTGTATCTTCTAACAATCTGTAAGAGACAAGACAGTGGTGTTTTGATTCAACAAAGATCATCTCTTTTCATTTCCTTATTTAATATTATTATTTACTAATATTAGTAATAGTGACCCCTAAGGCTAAGGTACTTGTGCTAAGAATAGCAGAGCTTGTATCTGGTGCTTAACTTGTTTAATCTGACATGGCCAAAAACAGACCTAGCATTGCCCTAGAGTTGGCTGGGCTATGGCAAACTGGTTAAAGCCAGTCAAACTCACAAGATGCCAACAGGTACGTGAAAATATTTATTTTCAGGGAAACTAGCCCCTCAAATATCTTTCTCATTAACCAGGTACATAAAAAGAGGAACGACTAGCCGGGCTCGGTGGCTCAGCCTGTAATCCCGCGCCTTTGGGAGGCTGAGGTGAGTGGATTGCCTGAGCCCACGGGTTCGAGACCCGCATGGGCAGGCGAGACCTCATCTCTACAATAAATCAAGAAATTAGCCGGGTGTGGTAGCGTGCGCCTGTAATTCTGGCTACTTGGAAGACTGAGGTGGAAGGATCGCTGGAGCCCAGCAGGTCGAGGCTGCGGTGGCCGGGAGTGGCCACTGCACTCCAGTCTGGGCGACAGAGTGAGACTCCAACTCAAAAGAAAAAAAAAAAAAAAAAGAGGAATGACTTACCAAAAAAATAAAAAAAAGTTTTACTGAGCATGGAATCAAGGCAAAAGGAAGTGGACAGTTTTGAGGCCATTTCACCTTTTCCCTGGATAAAAGCTCCCCCAGCTCAGATTTCCACCACCCTGAAGACTGGGCTACCCATGCCAGCAGAGCTGCCACATCTCGCTTTGATGCCCAGGTTTCCCTCTGTTGGCAGACAGTCCACATTCCATTGTCTACACATGCTTTCTTTCTTAGTTGTATTGATGCCACTGATTAGGCCACAGTCACATTCTACTAGCTTTTCAGGCTCCGATCAAGGAAATTATTTTGCTGTTCAACAATGTGGCTTCAACCTTTATTGGTGATTATCTTTTTTTTTTTTGAGTTGGAGTCTCACTCTGTCGCCCAGACTGGAGTGCAGTGGCCGCTCCCGGCCACCGCAGCCTCGACCTGCTGAGCTCCGGTGATCCTTCCGCTTCAGCCTTCCAAGTAGCTAGAACTACAGGCGCGCGCTACCACGCCCGGCTAATTTTTTGATTTATTGTAGAGATGAGGTCTCGCCAAGTTGCCCAGGCAGGTCTCGAACCCGCGGGCTCAGGCAATCCACTCACCTCAGCCTCCCAAGGCACAGGATTACAGGCTGAGCCACCGAGCCCGGCTACTGGTGATTTTCAAGTGTTCTTTTTTCTTTCTTCCTTCTTTTTTTTTTTTTTTTTTTTGAGACAGGGTCTCACTATGTTGCCCAGGCTGGTCTCAGACTCCTGGGCTCAAGCAATTCTCTTTCCTTAGCCTCTCATAGTGCTGTGATTATTGGTATGAGCTACCATACTCAGCCTTTCAAATGTTGACATGCAGAAGAGTTACATGGAGATCACCCAGGACCCTGCTGGGGCTCAATACATGATATCCCAAAGAATGGCACTTTGGCATGTTCAGTACTCTGAACTACAAAGGAGATTAAAAGGTCTCAGAAGTAAGGTCTTTCTAGCCTTCCACCCTCCTCTCTGCAGCCAGTCTATCTCCCAGAAGTGAGTCACGGAAACCAGAACCCCTCTTCGCAAAGGTGGAGAATGAGGGAGCCAGCACTAGAAGTGGCCCATGAATGACTTGAGAGTCCACAAAATGTAATATTCCAAACTGTACAATATACCAGGACACCTCTCTACCTGGTAGACTGAACTCCAACCATAGCCAGGGCAGGAGGTTTGACTTTCTAGAAACAAAACAAGTAATTTGTATATATCGCTGCTCTAGGTTGAGCTAGAGAACAAATTCCTAGATATCCTTTATGGTAACATCAACCATACACAATTTAACCAAACACAAATGGGAACAGAAAAGTATTTTATAGTACTTATCTTAAAGCTAAAGGTTTATAGCCAAAAGGAATATTTATATTTATACATTTTCTAAATTTTTAAGGGTTTTAGATGCCCCAAATCAGGGTTTTAGTCACAAATTTAAATATTTTTCTAATTGACAAAAAATGCTTACCTGCCAGCTGTTTTCTACAGAAATTCCTCTTTGTACCCGAATAATATATTCCTAAAAAAAAGGGGGGGAGGGGGAAGAGTCTCAGTTATAAAATTCCCAAATCAGAGAATCAAAAATAAGTAAAAATAGGTAAAGTAGACTACAGAGCAAAGTAAATTACCAGAGACAGAGAGGGACATTACTTTTATAGAAACAAAAAATAATCTACTAGGAACCTAGACTTAGCAATCCTAAATGTATATGCATCAAACATCAGAGATGTAAAATATGTGAAGCAAAAACTGAGAAGTGGAAGAAGAGACAGACAAACCCACAATTATAGTTGGAGACTTCAATATTCCTCTCTCAGAACTGACAGAACAACTAAACAGAAAACCAGATAGATATAGAAGAACTCAACAATACCATCAACCAACAGGATTTAATAAGCATTTACAAAACATTCCATCCAATAACAACAGAACACACATTCTTTTCCAATAACAACAGAATACACACTCTTTTCAACATGCAGCATAGAACCAATATAGATCATATCCTAAGCAATAAAACAAATCTCAAACATTTTAAAATAACTGAAATTTAAAAGAACTAGAAATCAGTAATGAAAAGATAATAGGAAAATCTCCATAAACAGATGGAAACTAAACAACATATTTCCAAATAATCCATGAGTCAAAGATGAACTCTCAAGGGAAATAAAAAAAATACATATATTTAACTGAAAGAAAATATAGCATATCAAAATTTGGGACACAGCTAAAGTAGTACTGAGTGGGAATTTTAAGCCTAAACATGCTTAAATCAGACTAAGTGCTTATATTAGAAAAGATGAAAAGGGCCAGGCGTGGAGGCTCACACCTGTAATCCCAGCACTTTGGGAGACCCTGTCTCAACAACAACAAAAAAGAACTACAAACCAACATCATTTGGAACATAGACTCAGAAATCCTTACCAAAATATTAGCAAATAGAAGCCAGCAATATATATATAAAAAGAATTATACACCATGACCAGGTGGGGTTTATTCCTGAGATGTAAGGCAGTTTCACTATTTAAAGCTTGATCAGTGTAATCTACCAGGTCAAAAAAAGAAAAATCACATGATCATATCAAATTAGGCAGAAAAACATTTGAAAAAATTCAACATCCTTTTATGATAAAACTTTCAGAAAAATAGTAATAGAGGGTACTTCCTTAAGATGACGAAAAGTTTCTACAAAAATTCTGCAGCTAACATACTATGGAGAAAGACTTAGTACTTTCCCCTAAGATCAGGAACAAGGCAAGGATGTCTGTTCTCCTACTCTTATTCACCAAAGTACTTGACTATCTAGCTGGTGTTATAAGGATAGAAAAAGAAATAAAAAGCATACAGATCAAAATAAATAAAATTGTTCTTATTTGTAGATGACATGATAGTCTATGTAGAAAATTCTAAGGAATCTAAAAAACCTAGAACTAATATATAAATTCAACAAGGTCACAGGATATAAGATAAGTATACAAATACCAGTTGGCTATCTATATACTAGCAATGAACATATAGACACTGAACTTAAAAATATAATACCATTTATAATTACTAAAAAAAATTTTAAGTGTAAGTCTAAAACATACACAAAACTTACATGCTGTAAACTACAAAACACTGATGAAAGAAATCAAAGCTCTAAATAAACAAAGACATAAAGACATTAATCATCCCAAATTGATATACAGGTTTAAAACAAATCCTACCAAAATCCCAGAAAGATTTTTTTCTAGATATAGACAAGATTATTCTGAAACGTATGTGGAAAGGCACAAACTACAATAGCTAAAACAATTATGAAGAAAAAGATAATAAAGTATGAGAAACCAGTCTAGTTAATTTCAAGATGTACTATACAAATACAGTGATCAAGACAGTGTGGTAATGGTTGGAGGTATAAGCACAGGAACAGAAAAGAGAACTCAGAAATAAACCCATATAAATACGCCCAATAAAATGTTGACAAAAGTGCAAAAGCAAGCTGGGCTCGGTGGCTCAGCCTGTAATCCCGCGCCTTTGGGAGGCTGAGGTGAGTGGACTGCCCTAGCCCGTGGGTTCGAGACTCGCCTGGGCAGTGAGACCTCATCTCTACAATAAATCAAAAAATCAGCTGGGCGTCGTAGCACATGCCTGTAATTCTGGCTACTTGGAAGGCTGAGGCGGAAGGATTGCTGGAGCCCAGTAGGTTAAGGCTGCGGTGGACAGGAGTGGCCGCTGCACTCCAGTCTGGGCGACAGAGTGAGACTCCGACTCAAAAAAAAAAAGTGCAAAAGCAATTCAGCAAAGGAATGACAGTCTTTTCAACAAATGGAGCCAGAACAATTGGACACCCATAACAACAGAATGAACCTTAACCTAAGACTCACATCTAATACAAAACTTAGCTCAAAATGAAACATGAACTTAACATTTTAAATGTAGAACTATAAAACTTTTAGGAAAAAACTGGAGAAAAATCTTTGGGATACAGGGTTAAGCAACAAGTTCTTAGATATGACAGCAAAATTACAACTCACATCTGGAAAAACTGGACTTCCTCAAAATTAAAAACTTTTGTTCAATAAAAGAACAAACTCAACAGTGAAAAAAAATCCAATGTGGAAATGGGCAAATGCCAGGAACAGACATTTCACTGAAAGGGTATATAGATGGCACATATAAATATGTTCACCACTAGAGACGGGCACAGTGGCTCACACCTATAATCCCAGCAATTTGGGAGGCTGGGGCAGGAGGAGCTCTTGAGGCCAGGACTTCGAGACTTAGTCTAATCAACAAAGCAAAACCCCATCTCTACAAAAAAAATTTAAAAATTCAGGAGTTAAAGGTTGCAGTGAGCTATGATAGTGGCACTGCACTCGAGCCTGAACAAAAAGCAAGACTTTGTGTCAAAGAAAAAAAAATTAGCCAGGTATGGTGGTACACATCTGACACAGTAGGATGGGTTGAGCCTAGGAGTTCGAGGTTACAGTGAGATGTGATAGCACCACTGCTTTCCAGCCTGAGTGATATAGTAAGATCCTGACTCTTAAAAAAAGAGAAAATATTTTCAACATCACTAGCCATCAAGAAAAATGCAATCTAAGGCCACAATGAGATATCACTATATACCTATAAGAATGTCTGAAATAAAAAATGGTAATAACACCAAAGACTGGCTAGAACACAAAGAAACTAGATCACTCGTACACTGCTGATAGGAATGTAAAATGGTAAAACCATTCTGTAACAGTTTGAAAATTTATTTTAAAATTAAATATGCAGCTACCATACAACCCAGCAACTGTACTCCTGGGTATTTATTCCAAAGAAATGAAAACTTATGTTTACAGAAAATCTTATACGCGAATGTTTATAGCAGCTTTATTAGTAATAGCCCAAAAGTGGAAACAAGACAGATGTCCTTCAATAGGTGGTTAAAATCTGCTAGGTACATACCATGGAATACTACTCAGTCAAAAAAAAAGAAATAAACTATTAATATACATAACATCTTGGATGACTCTCCAGAGAATTATGCTGGTTGGAAAAAAAAAACAAACACAAAAGGTTATATACTATACAATTCTACTTATATAACATTCTTGAGGAGACAGAATTATAGAGATGGAGAACAGATTAGTGGTTGCCAGGAGTTAAGGCTGGAATAGTGAGGTGGGTATGGAAGGGAAGTGGGTGTGACTATTGGAGGGCAAAGTGAGTGATGCTTGTATTGATGAAAATGTTCTCTATCTTGTCTATATCAATGTCAATATCTTGGTTCGGAAATAGTACTATCATTTTGCAAGATGTCGCCATGGGAGGAAATTGAGTAAGGGTATACGGGGTCTCTATGCATTTGTTTTTATAACTGTATACGAATCATCAATTATCTCAAATAAAAAGTTTAATTTAAAAAAACAGGAGCAACCCCTTCGAGTCCCCTCCCACTGTGGAAGCTTTTCTGTCCTCTCAATAAATCCTGCTTTCAAAAAAATTAAAAATAAAAAAAATAAGGTTGGGTGTGGTGGTTAATGCCTGTAATCCCAGCACTTTGGGAGTCCGAAGCGAGAGGAATGCCTGAGCACAGGGGTTTAATACCAGCCTGGGCAACTTGGTGAGACCTCTTCTCTACAATAAATCAAGAAAAATTAGCCGGGCGTGGTGGCGCATGCCTGTTGTTCCAGCTACTTAGAAGGCTGAGGTGGAAGGAGCACCTAAGCTAATCAGGTCAAGGCTGCGGTGGCCATGAATGTGCCATTGCACTCCAGCCTGAGTGACAGGGTAAAACTCCAACTCAAAAAGGAAAAAAATTTTTTTAAATTAAAAATAAAAAAATAAACAAAATGCAGGCATTCAAAACAAAGTATGGTAGCAGTCAGAAGACTAAGATTCATGATTTTTTTAAAAAATCTATTAAAAAAAACTATAATAAAACTATAAAAAATAGTTTTTTATATACACAGTTATAAAAAACTATTATTAAGAAAGTGAAAAGATGGAACAGATATGCACTGACGGCATTTCCTGAAGAAACCAAATCCAGTGACACCCCCTAAACCCACCTGATGATAAAAATCACCAGCTGGGCAATAGGGGGATGGAGGGGTGTATTACAAATACACATTCCTAGGCCTTGCACTAGACTTGCTGAATCAGAATCTCGAGAACAGAAACCTAGGAATTAGAAGTTTTAATAGCCACCTCAGACCTAGTCTAACCTGCTTATACACAGGGAGTTGTGATGGTGAGAAGGTTCAGATTAAAGGTTCAGATTAAGTCATAAAGAATGTTCATATTTTTCCATCAAATGTTCAGATTGTTTTTACTGACTTTGAATGATATGACTTAGGCATTACAGTTGTCATTCAACAAATCCTTTCTACTAATTAATTCCATTTATTTAAATAGGTCATTTAGAAAATAAAACCAAATAAGCCTGTCAACCTGGTAACTGAATTCTAATATTGACCTTACTACACTATCATTCATTTCTATTCTGTTTATTTAGCAAAGGCTGATAAAGTAAACGT